CACCCTTGGGGTGAAGGGTGTTCTAGTGCGGAGTTGAATGAGGGGTTCGCCTGAGCCCTCGGCGAGTTTACGCTTCATTTCCTCCACCTGCGCCCGGAGGTCAGCGTACTCCGGATCTGGCCTCGCTGTGGAAGCCGTCGGGGGTGCCTGACGATTCTCCTCGAGCTGACGGAGGAGGGCTTCAATGATTTCGTCCTTGGGATCCTTCGGAGCAACCCCTTGGGAGTTGGCCCGGAAGGACTGCGCCTGATTGATCTGGTGTCTGGCGTCATCGGCATGGAGGATTGCTTTGCCCTTGCTTCGGGGCGAAGGTATGCCCTCGGCTCCCGAAGCGGAGGCTCCGCTCTCCTGAGGCCTGCTGAATTCTTTTTTGCCGAGGCGGTCTTGGACCCCTCGGCGTACGGGAGCTCCCCCAAGCCTCTCAAGTGCAGAGGTCCGGGGTTTCTCCTTCATCAAGGGACGTTTATCCCTGGATTGGGCCTCTTGGGAGGCGGTGTCCTGTGCCATGACCCCTTCGGCGTTTCCAATCCCCGGGGGAGGATTGGTGAACAGAGGAGGGAGCGGCGGTAATTGAATAACATTCCCTCCAGCGTAGGGCTGGAGGGGTGCCTGAGAGGCGAGGGCTCCGGAATTGAGAGCCATGTTCTGAACAAAGGCCGCAAAGGCAGCCTGAAGATCGATGGCCGGGGCCGGAGGGGGAACTTGGTTCTCACTCCGATCCCTCCTTCGATTATCAAGGCCGATGCGGGCATCAGGGGTGTTCTTCTGCAGCTGTTGGCGTAGGTCAGCGGTGGCTTGCTCTAACTCAAGGATGACACCACCCTCGGGTACCAAGAGCCTGTTGGAGGCCTCAGCCCCGTTGGTTTCGCCGGGGGCGACGTGGTTCTCCTCCAGAGTTTTAGATTGGGCACGAGTGGTTCTTCCCATCTTTTGGCAAGTGTTTCGTATTTGGTAGAGGGGGAGGGTTTCTTACTTGATAGTTCAGACCTCTCAACGAGAGCACCAAATGATGGATGGTCTACCCGGGGGGTATCTAATCCGAGGGGTTACTGCGGAAATAACTAGAGAGAAGTCAGAGCAAATAGGAGGAGAGAGAGTCGATTTTATTAAATGAACTCAGCGTGGTTTACAAGGAGAATAAGGGCTGCTATTTATAGCAGCAATAAATGCGATGAGAGGACACGTGTCAGTAATCCAACGGCCGAAGGGTCACATCAGCCGGTTGGCACCGGCAGTGGTACGTCCACCGCAATGAATGCGGTTGGCGGATGTGACGTGGTATTAAATGCGGTGGTTGGCTGTCTCTAAAAGGAATCTTCGATGATTGAGCTAGTTCAGCCGAAGGCTCCCGGTGTAGCCGAGGGCTCCCGGTGTAGCCGAGGGCTCCTTGTGCAGCCGAGGGCTTCTCTGATCCGAGGGTTTGATAATGCCGAAGGCTCATGTTTTTCGCCGTTTTCTCCCAGTAGCTTTTTATGCTAGAGAAGGCTATCCTGTGAGTTTTGGAGCCTTCGGCCAAGGAGGCCGAAGGCACCCCAGTGCGTATTCTGGGCTTCTTCGAGGCTTGGGCCGTTGTATTTGGGCCCGAGTTGTTTCCTGGGCTCAATGGACTTGTGCAGGAGAAGTAGGAGTCTATGGGCCGGGGGTTCCTGGGCCATATACTCCATCAGTACCATTTTGCATTTATCAATAAAATTCCTCTTTTCTCAAAAAAAAAAAAATCAACATCCTTGATCGGGATGAGACTCGAACCTGCGACCTTCTCTTTGGGAGATCACCGATGATGTCATCAAACCACAAGGTACTTGGCGATAATTAAATCTAATTAAATAATTCATTAATTTATTTTTTCAATTGTTGTAGATAAGTTAGCTAAAATACATTAACGAATTTAAAATTCTCTCCCCTTTACTAAGAATACATATGATATGTCATATATGTAACTAATGATTTCAAATATAGATAGAAGTTAATCGTTCTTTAACAACATTTAAGAAAATCGGAGTTTAATTTTTTAGGGATGATATTAAAAGAATACATCAAATATGATCTGAAAATTGAAACATGCTTATAATAAATAGGTTAAAGGGTCAAATAGGCCCTTGAACTGATTTAAAGTGTTCAATTAGCCCCATATATAGGAGGTTCTGCCCGGCCGTCGCTAATTGGGGCGGTTTCCGATGGAATTTTTTGATGAAATTTTTTGAGCATCTTCTTAATTAAGTCTAGTTTATTCATACCTAATTTCAGCTAAAAATTCAACCGGGAAGGCAGTCAAATTATTTTCCGAAATGTACTGCGCTGTTTAACTTCGCAATTATCTTCAAAAAATCATTTGACTGCCTTCCCGGTTGAATTTTTAGCTGAAATTTGGTATGCATAAACTAAACTTAATGAAGAAGATGCTCAAAAAAATTCATCAAAAAATTCCACCGGGAACTGCCCAATTGGAAACGGCCGGACAGAACCTCCTATATAAGGGGCTAATTGAAAACTTTAAGTCTGTTCAAGGGCCTATTTGACCCTTTAGCCAAAGAAATATATTTGAATTACCCAAAATTCCCAAAATTCTTTCTATTTTTCTTGGTCCAGTTCATTTCAATTTAGTCTATCAAGTACATATTAAGATGTTTTTCACCGGTCTGATATGATAAATGCCCGACCTCTGTGTATTTTATAACTATCGAAGTCTGATTTGATCTGATATATTTAAGTCTAGTCTGTTGTGATCTAGACTCGGGCTAAAATATGTAAAAACATCCACGTTTAATGTATTGGTTAGTAAGGCAAGGACAATTGTCTCCTCCACGATTGAGTAAAAAATTAGAATCACATGGAGTTGCAACGATGCTGGTTGTGATATGACTTAAATATTCACTCACATGAGCATCAGTTTTAAAAGTGATACTAAAAGTTTTAAAAGTGATACTGGATCCTAAGGGTAGGTGTTATAAATTTATAATTATCACCTGTTGGGACTTGAGTAGAGACAAATAGAGTCACAGTAAAAGGATAATAACGGACATTTTACTTCAGTTTTGGCCAAATGAAAGAGTTTTTTTCCCAAAATAATGCAAAACAAAAAAGTATTTACTAAATTATGGTTAAAAGTTTTTACCAAAATACTGCTAAGGCTTTGTTTGAAAGTGATTGTGCTTAAATAAAAGCACTTTTTGGGAAAAAGTGGTTAATAGTAAAAGTTGGTAGTGTTTGGTAAAATAAGTGCTTTTGTGTAATAGAAAAAGTAAAAAGTAGATTCTACGCGGAAGTCGAGAATGTAAAAATTGATAGTGTTCGGTAAAATAAATGTTTTTTTCTTAAAAAAGCCACAATCACTTAAATTAAGTAATTGCAAACAGAGCCGAACTGACCACCTGTTACCAAAAGCATTTGAATCCAATTGTTATCCTGTAGTTATTATGTCAAATCTGGCCGCCTGTTGCAGTTGATGTCAATATTATCATGAAAGGTTCAGAATGGTCGTGATTTTTTTTTTTAAGAATGATCGTGAAATTTATTGGCAACATTACTTTGCTAATTCCAAATAAACAAACAACCTTCAAGCTTTTTTTATTGGGGTACAACGGAAAAGCCCTCCAAGCTTATACAACGTAACATAAGAACTGAATCATTATAAGATTTATAACTGATGGCACTCCAGAACTGGAACCAACCTGGTGCATAGGTTCTAGTTCTTAGCATATATTTTAAAAAAGTAAAGAAAAAAGCTAGAACCAATTGGTTCTTGTCCCATTCTGGAAGAGTCCAAACCAAGCAAATGGGTGAATAGTTGAGTTTGTTACCCGTTTGGACCTAGTTGCGAAACTAGGTCAACCCCTAATAACACGTAGAGCCCGTTTGGTAGCACAAAAATCGGCTGTTTTGGCTGTTTCTGCTGAAAGTTATGAAATTCTAGTTGAAGTGGCTGTTTTGGCTGATTCTGCTGATTCTAGAAAAAAATATTTTAAAAATATATTTTATTAATAAAATAAAGAAAAAATTACATGTAAAAATAGCTAAAATGGTCATCTACAGTAACTTCAGCCTATACAGCCAGAAAAGTAACTCCAACCTTACTTTTTCTGCTTCTTACCCAATTCAGCACGCGAAAGTAAAAATTACGTGTTTGGTGAAAAAGCTGGCTGATAAGCCTGATAAGCCGAAAAAATGGGTCTCCAAACGGGCTCGTATTTCCATAATAATTTTCCAAATTGTGTCGAAACAAACAGACCAAAGAAAAAATAGAGTGAACCAAGCTAAATTGTTTTACATCTCGGTAATAGTGAAACTTCCCTGGCTGATTAAGATCAACTGAGCTAAAAAGCACTGATTAGCGTTTACACCTTTTCTGCTAAAGAATGCATGTTTTCCCTTTATTGTTCACATTCATAATATTTTTTATCATGTTCTTCTAAGCAGTGAATAATGTGTGATTGTGTGTATAACTACTGTTCATTTCCTTATAAAGAATGTTCATTCAAACATGCTGAACTAGCCATTATCATCATAATATATTGATCTGTATTCTCTATATTTATAAGTATACGGACACAAATTATCTTAGTGAGATATGTAGGGATTGTAGGCCACCTAATTTCAACCGACCCATACCCCGCCATAATTAAAAGGAACACGTGCAGGGGGGTCTAGCTCTAGATGTCATTTTTAATCCGTACGCCCCACGCCCCCCCACTCTCTGGAGACTGGAAATGCATCCACTACCGGTGGGCGTAGCTCAACTAGTAGCGAGGGAGTGCCACAAGGATTAGGTCTCGGGTTCGAATCCCGGCAACTGCGATGAGGGGTTACTATGCTGAAAAATGCATAGGGCTTCTGCAAGTACCGGGGACAGAGCCTCACTCTCTATCTGCAAGTATCGGTGTTGGGAGGCCCTCAGGGATGGGGTGTCATCCTTTATTTTTTTTGGAAATGCATCCACTGCCTCCATTTCTTGCTTCTGCGATCCCACCATAGTGATTCCCCAAGTCAACCATCAACAAATAGCTCACTCTTACTAACCACACTTGCATTAAATTGGAGTGTGAAGTTGGTCTATTAGAAGCATCATCATCGTCAAGAACACCAGCAAAGGAGGAGGAGAAGGTAAATTCTGGGGGCAGGTAGCAGAAATGGAAGCAGAAGAGGGTGGCTGTATATCGGCACCTTCAACACCAACAACACCATCCACACCCGGCGCCCCATTGTTTTCAAGGTTCAGGCATGAAATGGCTGGCAACGGCAATGGTAATGGCAATGGCGGCAGAAGAAACCTTCTTAAGAGCTGTAAGTGCTTCAATGTGGAAGGGTGGGGTTTAGAGGAGGGAAGCTTGCCTTCCATCTCATGCACATTGCCTTCTCCTCCTGTATCACTCGCAAGAAAGGTATGGTAGGCCAGACGCATCCTCTTACATTTCAGAAAGTGCTCATATCATGGATGACTTAAGATCCTATCAAGATTTGGTTGGTGGTCACATTACTGATAGAATATATGAGATTTGATGTATTTTTTTGTTGATATAACAAACCGTGCAGGTCGGAGCAGAGCTGATAGGAACGATGATACTAATATTTGCAGGAACTGGAACCGCAGTTGTGAATGAAGAGAGAAAAGGAAGTGAAGGGCTGCTAGGGTTGGCTGTATCCACTGGTCTTGCTGTTATGATTGTCATTCTTTCCACCGGCCACATCTCTGGGGCTCATCTCAACCCTGCTGTCACTCTTGCCTTTGCTGCCCTCAAACACTTCCCCTGGAAACATGTAAACTCTATATCTAGCCATCTCCTTCAAATATAAGATACAAATGCACATATAAGGCACTACATTATTCATTTTTCATTAACATATAATCTGAAATCTTAATATGATACGAGAGCCAATTCAACTCAAATGAACACTCGATTTGTCTGAGATTAAAAAAGATTGACATTTTAGGATGCAATTTCAAGTCTTCATATTACAAAGAAATAAAGAGAAGAGCAAAAAAATAAACAACTTCTATAATGGGCTTCCATTAAAAACTCTGTTACAAATTACAGTTTTCTTGTAACTGTTAGAATATACTCATAATGACTAATTGACTATTGAGATTGCTTTTCAGATTGATGACGTTGTGAAAAATCTGCTTGTTTATAGGTTCCAGTTTATATAGGTGCACAATTGATGGCATCATTGGGGGCAGCATTCATAGTGAAGGCAGTCTTCCATCCCATAATGGGGGGTGGAGGTGTCACAGTTCCTACTTCTGGTGGTTGTGGTGGGGATTGCCACCTTCAAGCTTTTTCTTTGGAATTCATCATCAGCTTCAACCTCATGTTTGTTGTTACCCGCGGTTTCCACCGACACTCGAGCTGTAAATATTCAAGTCCTCTTAACATGTTTTTTTCTACTTTTAATCTTCTCACCTACTGTGACGGACGTTTTTTATCCGCTTTCACCTTTAATCCTCCAACTGTTGTGAGAGTGATCCTTTGTATATTGTGTCAAAATTCAAAGACAATTACCATTTACCAGGAATGTTACTCTCAAACTAGTTTGGGGAATAAAAGGGGAAAAGTCAAAGACAGATGTCAAATATGTCATTATGTGACTAAACTTGCTGTAACTTAATACAGTATGAAACTACAGTAACAGAATTGCTGGGGTTAAAACTCTAAAATCTCATCTCTATATACATATATTTTTCTTCTCCAGAACTAGAGAGTTGGATGATATTGTTTGAGCGTGCTACAGGTGGGAGAGCTTGCAGGAATTGCAGTGGGAGCCACTGTCGCACTCAACATACTTATAGCAGGGTAATTTCAAACACCTGTGCATATTACTTTACACTTTCCTGTTTTCTTGGTTGGATCACACCAATGAGGCAGGTTCTTAAAAAAACTGACTTAGGCCTAGCTCGGAATTCCGAATTGATCCGCATCATGTTCAGATGAATCAAGTCCAGTCCAGTCGGCCATTACTGCACAGCTTTGTTGAGTATACAGTTTCCAAATCCTAAAATTTAAGTCCAACCTTCTTTAGGGTGGGATTAGGGCCGGACCTATTGATCTTCGTAAACTGAAGTTGAACTTAGGCTGTTTTGACTCCCCAAAATATAGTTCCCAACAATTCCGGTTCTGCTGTCTGATTGGTTCACCGAAGACCGTGAACAGCCCTAAACAATTACCAGCAAGGATATGCCTAAAAAAATATGTAGGAAAGAAATTAGGATGAAATGGAAGAAAAATGAGGTTTGCCCACAGATGACTTGGTTGAAAAATCAGTATTGCTAGGACATAGAAGTAAACATCTATGTAAAACTAACTATATAGATACTCACCTTGAAATCAAGTTTGTTCCAACACTAAAGTAACACTGAATGGAGTATGACAGAAAAAATCAGCAGAAAGTGCTTACACATCATCCATTATGCCTCTACTCTTGATCTCTCAGAGAAACAACTGGAGCATCCATGAATCCCGTACGAACTCTTGGACCAGCAATAGCAGCAGGAAACTACACAGCTTTATGGATATACTTGACTGCTCCCATTTTGGGTGCCCTGGCTGGTGCAGGTGTATATTCTGCAGTTAAACTGCCTGATGAAGATGGCCAGAATCTTCAAAAGCCTTCTCCACTTGAAGATCTAATCAGAAGGTGATGAATCAAATCTCATTACACCTAAACAAAAAAAAGGTCAATTTCTATGGAACAATGAGTGGAACACTGGAACATGTTCACACTTCCTTTGTACATTCTGCTACTGCATTTTACACTACATAGCTTTAGTCTACGTAGCCATCCAATTGTAATTCCGACATTGTACTATAGCATCACTGTAATGGGATTAAAATCACTCGGTACATTGAATCGATATCAAATATTGTTGAACCATACCACACAAAGATGACATTATATGCAATCTAATGTTGAAGCATATGATAAGAAAGAAAATGTTAACTTATCAATGTCAATTGTCAAATGTCGTAAACAATAGAGTTTAGGTGACTTAGAACGTACACAGATAACAGATTTGAGAAAATGTAATGATGGTGGTGGAAAAGAAAAAGGGTAACTCTTGCATGCTTGTCATGTATAGTAAATTAGTAATAGAGAAGAGTAGAAGACAATTTGACACCTCCTGTAAATTGGTTGATGTTTGTGAGTTTGTCCGGCTATATAAGAGAGGCTTAAGCTTCATAGTTAACAAACTTTGCAGATATAGAAATGCTATGTGTAAGTAAATACATTCAACTTCTCAAATTCTCTTCGGTGGGGTTCCACAAATAATTTGCCAAATAATTATCCTAACGTGGGCTGTGGAGATCAGTCTAGCGAGAACTCGATTTTCCCGACAACTCAACTAGAAGCTTTATTGCACCAAAATTCCTCCACTGTCAAAGTGAGTAGCCATTCCTAGCGCTAATGACTATAGAACAGAGCGGTACACTCACTTGTTGATTGTTAGGCGAAATTCTTTATACCCACGGGGCGGTAAGATGGCTGTGGAGATCCACATCAGTTACAAGGAAATGCAATATGTCCACGTATGGCTTACAAGTCAGCATTTCTAATTATGCACACATTTATTTACCTTTACTTCACCAAAGAATATTTCAAAATTAGTATTCCAAAATTATTTCAGCTGGCATGACAACTGCGATCTACCGGGTATTACTTAACCACAATGCACTAAAGCAGTTACATACAAAGCCTTTCTTTTTGGGACAGATAGAGTATTTTGTTACTCATCCCATCCCAAAAAAGTGCCATGTTTCATTTACTCATTTTCTCCGAAAACAGTGTGCAATTTGATCATGTCAACCTAAACTTTCGTACCAACATAAAAAATAAAACAATATAAGTATTATTCAGTATTTACGATAGCAGCAACTTGTTTGTGTCCAAACATAAGTTCGTATTTTGCCAAAAGTTGAAGCTGAAGCGGATCTTTGGGGTACCCATTATATAAAAAAATTGGTTGAAAAGTTCCATGCGGTATCACATTCAAACTATTCCATGCGGTATCATTTCAAAATAAACTAAAGGTTATATAATTGATGTCTCATAGTTTTTGTACCAAATAAGCTAAAACCCTATCTATTCCCTTTCTTTGTATTTGTAGATACTAAAAAGTTGCCACAAACAAGGCTTCAGCAATAAATACAAAAAAGCACTAACAAGCACAATGAGAGAAAGTTTTTTTTACACAGTGGCACAATGAGATAAAGCTAAACAGATGCACATAGGCTATTTTTTCACATTGATAGATATAAGTACGAATTCGAACATATAGCCTGAACATTGCAACGGAAAATGGATTCAACCTTTTTAGGTAATATTTATATTTACTGATCTCGAATTAGCATATACTTCCTCCGTTCCTTTTTAATTGCAATAGTAAACATTTCACGTTTGCCAACGCACGAGTTTGACCATTAATATCTTTCAATCCTTATTAGTAAAAAATTTCAAAAATTCATATTTTGAAAATATAGAATGAGAAGAATTTAACAATATTTTTTGAAAATTAAATTCGTAAAACATTAATAAATAAACTATAGTCAAAGTAGAATATGTGAATAGTGCAAAAAGTCCTACGTTGCAATTAAAAGAGAACGGAGGTAATATGAGCTAAGATATACTTAGAACCACTAAAAGGAGGTGTTCATAAAGCACTTATAGGCCATTTCAGAATTTATTATGCAAAAGCGTCAAAGGAATTAAAAGATAGACCTCTTCTTATCAATGCAGAATCTCCATCTCCACCACTTCAAAATCAGAACTTGTATAACATGTAATACAACCAAAATTTGATTAAATGAGACCTTTGAGCATAATCACTTCTGAGATACTGATTATGCATCCAATCAGTTCTTGATCCGAACATCAGAAGCTACATTAGACATTTCACAATTGTAACAGGTTCAAACCATTTCAAGTTCTTTGTCTCCGCTCAACGGGTCTGGCCGAACTGCTATGTCATAGGGTTTAGCGAGAAATAGAATTAACGCAGCAATTAGAGTGCCGACGACGTCGGCTACGGCGTCTTTAGCCGAACCACCGGCGGACTTGAAAAAACCTAGCTCGTCTGCGAGCTCCTTGGCGGCACCGGCAGCAAGAGAAACGATGGATCCGACCCAGATGCTCCTGCGCCTAATGAAAGGATATCGGGTCCGACTTGAAACTACGGACGTGATAATAGCGATGGAGAAGCAGAAGAGGACGTGGTAAAACTTATCCATGGCGATCCAGTCGTCCCCGTTCACCATTTCTAGAATGTGGAAATTGGAAGAGCTAGATAAATGGTTCAGTTAAGTTTAATGGAGGACCCCAGAAGATTTGTCAAGGCTGCTGCTGCATAGCTGCATGTAGGCCTGTCAATGCGTCGGGTCTAGACCCGGACCCGACCCGGAACCGGTTTTTCTTAACGGGTATGGGTCCTTATTTTATTCCGTTTACCCGGACCCGAACCCGGACCCGTTAGTACTTTTAATAAACGGGTCGGGTATGAAACTTATGATTCCGAACCGTTAAGGACCCGGACCCGTTTAAAATTTCTTATTAGTATATACACACACACTAATACACAAAGAGATTAGTTATAATACTTCAAATAAAAATACAAACTAATACATATAAAGTGATTAATTTTAATTCTTTGATTAAAAAGAAACGAATTAATACATACCTAATGTATAAGTGATAATATAATAGTACGTAGTATATAATATGCTTTTAGTCCAAAAGAACTTTTTGTGACCTAATCTCTAGTCTAATATACGAGTTTTCTGTGGGAGAGAAAGAGACACAAAGTGAGGAATTGTACGCATCTACAAGAACCGATATTTTATTGGATAAAAGTACTAATTTTCTATGATAAACCTTGATTTTTTTGAAAAGTGAAGATATATTTTGCTTTTAAATTTGTGCACTTTGATTTACATTTCATATACATGTTTTGCTATTTTTAAAAAATTATATAATGTTCTGTCAAAAAAAAAGTTATATAATGTTGTGCATATGATACTTGGCGGGTCTACCCGACCCGGTTCCGAGACCCGTTGGATCCGGGTCCAAATTTTTAGACCTGCCGAGTAAACGGGTCGGGTCCGGGTCCTTTATTTACTTAGCAGGTCCGGGTTTGGAACACTACGTTCCGACCCGGACCCGACCCATTGACAGGTTTAGCTGCATGTGAAGATAACAGGGAGGGGTTGCCGGGTTGGGTGTGGTTAGATTGGTTCGATTTATATTTTGATGGTTTACAAAAATATAACTAGTTACTAGAGTAGTAATGAAATCATAGTGATTCATGTTCAAGTTTTGAATTTAGTTACCACAATACTAAGTTGTAGTAATGAATAGTCATATTTATGTGAATATGTTTTTATTATTAATATTCTGATAAAAAAACTCTTTATTATACGGAGTAGTTCGGTTTCAAATTTTTTCTCCAAAACTATTCCATTTTTTTTAAACAAATAACTTAATTATTATTAATGAAGAGGGGTAAGAGTCAGATTGGTACTCGAAGTTGCATAAAAAGGGTCAAATAAGTCCTTATATAGGAGGCTCTTTCTAACCGTCATCATTTGGGGCGGTTCCCGGTGGAATTTCTTGGCGAAATTTTTTGAGCATCTTATTCATTATGTCTAGTTCACTCATACCAAATTTCAGCTAAAAATTCAACCGCGAAGGCATTCAAATGAATTCTTGAAGATAACTGCGCAGTTTAAAGCATAGTTATCTTCAAGAATTCATTTGAATGCCTTCCCGGTCGAATTTTTAGCTGAAATTTGGTATGAGTGAACTACATAATGAATAAGATGCTCAAAAATTTCGCCAAGAAATTCCACCGGGAACCGCCCCAAATGATGACGGTCGGGCAATAAGGACTCATTTGACCCTTTTTATGCAATTTCGAGTACCAATCTGACTCTTACCTCTTAATAAAGATGAGAAGAAACATTACAATCATAAAGCTCAAGACTATAATAGGATGAGACATAGAATCGGACTATTCAAATTGAAAACGCTGAATCGCAATTCCTGCAAAGAAGTAGACTCTACCTGCAGATTGACTGCTTCTGCTACGATCACAATAATTATCAAAAGAATTCTTAAATATCCAGGTTTGTTCAGCCACCGGTAAGGAGCCAACTGTGGAATTTGTTCCGGTTTCACCAGCCACTGGAAAGAAAGCAATCCAAATGATCTCATCTTCCTGTAACGACGGTGGTTCAGGAGGGGGGCGATCCTTCTCAATATCGGCGCAGAAGAAAATCATATTTTTGATTGATGAAGAGATCAGTGCAAACCTCTTCTTAGCACACAAGAAAGCCCAGCCGAATGTGGCGGGGAATATGGATCTGACAGATGATACTTCGCTACCGAATATAATATCTCCAAACAACGTTGGGAAAGAAACAGAGGAATAAAACTGAAGACACTAATTAAGAATATTTTTTTTCATTATTGAAATAAAAAAAGATTGAAAGAAGAGAAGAAAAGAAGAGAAAAGGAGGCGGCTAGGGTTTCCCCATGCCATCGCCGCTAGCTATTCCATTGTTATCTTCCACTTATTCCACTTTGATAAGTGGAAAAAGTTGGAGGACCCCCGTCGTCCCCATTCACCATTTCGAGGCTGTTTGGCAACATTGTTTTTCGGTTTATCAGCCGACTTTTTGACCAAACACGTAACTTTTGTTTTCGCGCGCTGAATCGTGTCATAAGCAGAAAAAGTAAGGTTGAAGTTACATTTCTGGCTGTATTGGCTAAACTTATTGCAGATGATCATTTTAGCTATTTTCACATATTTTTTTCTTTATTTTATTAATAAAGTATATTTTTTAAAAATATTTTTTTCTTAAATCATCAGAATCAGTCAATGCAACCACTTCAGCCACAATTTCATAAATTTCAGCAAAATCAGCCAAATCAGCCGATTTTCATGCTACCAAACGGGCTCTTCATCTTATTCCACTTAAAATAATACAATTGTTGGAGAAAATCAAACATATTACATACAAATATAAGCATACTAGACATATAAAATAAACGAGAAGAAATAAATATGTCTTGAATTATATAAGTGGGGATGTGATAGAAAACACTTTTTTTTTTCAATTTTCGGAACAAAAGTATAAATATTATTAATTTACATTTTTGTGATTAGTTTGAAAAATAATAATGAATATATTCTCTATGAGGTATAGTTGAGATAATTATTTGTTTGTTTTGTCAATATATAATTTTTAGGTTACATAAAAACAAAAGTTACTAGTAATAAGCAACAGATCAATGCCCCCCATGCGTATCTTGCCTTTCCACCATCTTTATTTTATTTTATTTTATTTTATTTTATTTTATTTTATTTTATTTTATTTTATTTTATTTTATTTTATTTTATTTTATTTTATTTTATTTTATTTCTTCTAATATTCTTTCCCGTTAACTCAACTTAGCTCCTTTGACTTGTTATCTCTACATCTCTAATCTCTAAAATATTATAAGAGGAAATATTGTCAGGGGTTTAACGGTCATGGAAAAAATGTTAGTGTCTCTTGATATATAAGGTGATTGTACTTTATATTTACTTTGTTGGACATCCTAACCTGGTCGGAGCTTCGGTTACTAACGGAAGGGTTTAACGTTACATCCTCACGGAAAAATAACTCAGCTGTTTTATCTTACTCGATCTAATTTATTTCCATTATCGTTCAAACCCCTTACCTGCTCCTCTCTCCCGTTTCAGTTTCAGCCGCTCGACATTCTCCCCTCCATAGTAATGGCATCTGAACATCCCCAGTTTAGTTACTCAAAGGTCAGGTTGTCGATTATAAATAATTTGTTTAGCATATTTTCCCCTTCTTGCCTGTTCTGCTCTTGTAAGTTTTTTCTCTATTCCACCAATTTGCATTGTATAGTTGCTTTATTATTAATACATGCGCCTTCGTATTATTACCTCCCTATCCGAGAAGATTTTTGTGGGTTTTCCTATTTTCAATTCTGCCGCCTCCCAAATCCCTCTGTAGTTGTACTGTACTTGCTCCCAGAATTGTTTTGTGACAGTAATTTGGGTGCCTTGAGATGATGATTCCATCTTCCAATTGTGTAGTTTCCCCTTTATATTTATGTCTCTATGTGTTTGTTTAAATGTCCCCATGAAATCATGTAATTTCTTGCACTTGAATTTTTAATATTTATAGTAACTAATCTCTGCATTTTTCGTTTTAATGTTGTATAAGCTTATAAGGGAGTGTTTTCTATTGCTTTAAAGTTTAAACCCCTTTTTTCATCTTTTAGCTTCAAGAAAGCTAAAAGTTTGATCATAAAAACAACTTAAGAAGCATATAGCTCATATCCCCAAATTTTTACTATTAAACTGAGTAGAGCTGAGCTTAATTCGATGATCAGTTAGCTATATACGAAGTATCACATAACTGACCCCTTGAATTGCAGATCATTATATATCCTATTTTTAATATGAGATTGTTTAAACTTTGACTATAAAAGTGAGCTTGAAAAGGCAGATGGTTATATATGAGTTTTATTCCTATTTTGCTAATCTTATAATTACGGAGTTTAACTATTAATGATGATTAATATTAATATTAATATTTCTTAATAATATGTTTAATTTCTTTAGTAGTTATTCAATAAGTAGTTTAGTTCAACTGAACATGTGTACTGACTGGGAGTTCAAAACATCATATCAATGATCGTGTTTTTGCAATGATCCCAATGAGAAAATTTAGTTCTTTTAGTTATTGTGATTACTCAGTAATCTTCTTCTCACACCTTAGCAGTAAGTCACCTTAAACACTTGCAAAATTACATGTAACCTACTGTCAGTAGTCATATATAGATAGGACACTTGTAGGCTAACTGTGGAGTTAATTTATGTATAAATGCGTTCTATGGAGTTTTTATAAATGTTCAAGAACTACTCAGTTAGGTAGTTCTTAGCGGATCGCCCGAATGTCAAGTACATAACCTCATCCATCCTAGAGGCCAAGGGTACCACTAAACACTAGCCAAAGGCAGTCTTGAATGGGAGGGGGAGAGGGATACTCAGTACTGTATGGTTGAACTATTGCCTAAGGTGAATGGGGGTGCTGACAAAGATTAAGATAATACAGTGGGTGCTAAATGTTTTTTCAAATGCACACCTAGGGTTTGATCGCAGCAGTTGGCCTTATTATGTTCGATCAGATGCTTTTTTGGACAGACCTTAAACATTCCCTAGGCCCACTGTTGGGCCTTCCCACCCCCTCTCTTTTTCTTTCTTTATTTTTGGGTTTAGGTTGCACACCTCCCCTCTTTTTTGCTTATTATTTTTTCCCTTATCCCCTCCATTGTAAATCTTTTTTCACATCTCAATAAAATTTTATCCTTTCTCTTTTAAAAAAATGTAGTGAGAATTAAACCCACCCACATATTGCCTTGTAGAAAATTGCTTTAGAGGTGCCTACATAATGCTAAATCAATTTTTCTTTTCAATCTTACTGAATATGAATAGTTCATAGTCGCTGCTGTGATATCACATGCTTGCACACTTTTGATATTTTTGTCTACAATGCACGGTTCACATTTAGCAATCAAAGAAGAAGCATAAACCCAAAAACAAAAACAAAAATAAGGATAGAAGAAGCAACAATGGACTGAATTGATCCGTCTGCCTGGTTGCAGCCATGCCCTTATGCCCTGAACGGCGATTATCAGATCATCATTGTGACTATCAAGGAAATATTAGGCTTCTTCTTACGGGCGCCAGAGATAGAACCAGGCATTCTGTACCCCATTTAGCACTATATGCTACAATGATTCTTGATTTCATGCTAGGCAATCATTGATCTTTTACTTTGTAATATGCATATTCTCTTGTTGGGAAGTAATTTAAAAAGGTCTTCTAGAATCCTTTTGTTCTTGGTGTTTAGCTTCTTCAAATTTATAGGAATTTAGTTTGATTTAATAATATAGCATTGTGTGGTTGTACATCACAGTTTAGGCATAGTACTCCATTTTTATTACTCCATCATTTCCCTGATTTGTCTTAAAGATGTCAGTTAATTTAACCTAGGCCTAAACCTTATACACCATCTTGTTAAGGTGATCTTCATTTAAGCTCGTACTGTATGCAGATACATGCCAGACGACTGCTAGCAACACCTCACAAACACAAGCAAGTCATTCCATATAATTCCATTTAAAGAAGGGGTTCACACAAAGGGTATGTATTTCCTTTTCATCGATTCTCCAACTTAGCTTGATGCTTCTATTTTAAATTTCTTCATTCTAATGATTACTTTCAATACTTATACAATACCTTGACAATACCTCACAGAAGTGTATTGGCACAACAAGCCTCAAGGAAACTGATCTACTGGACTTGGTTCTGGATGGGACTCCATTTAAATTCCAGATTCCAAAGAAAGCAATTAACATTGATAACCATTGTTCCCAGAACCAGAAGACTACATTTGGCTTGAAACTTCTTTACCATGGAAATAAGTCTCCTCCATCATCTCTAACACGCTGCGTTTCTCCACTTTCTCCTATGTGGTAATTTGAGCATTACATCATGTTGAGTTCGAAATGAAGGACGAAAGCAAATTCTCTATATGATATGACAATAATCTCAGGTTTTTGCGAATAAGTATTTATTTAGTCCTTTGAAGGAAAAAAACAAATTTTTGATGTGACATTGAGGCCCCAACTTCACACTTATTTGACTTGTAATTTTTCTATTAACGTGCCTTTTCTTTTCACCCAAAAGGCTAAACAACACTTTAGACCATTTGGAGAGGAATAAAATGTTAAAAATGATCTCCGTCCATATGAAAACAGTGTTTTAAGTTCCATTTCCCTGCAGGCTCTTTTTTTTTTCGAATTCGATCATATTGATCGAAGTTCGGCTGTTCTTGTTCGCATATCTGGCCGCGGAGCAGTGGTCTGCTTTTGGCTAAGGTAGAGTGATCACGAGTTTTTCTCTCTAGGGCTTTGACTATGTCGGCCGCTGGAGCCTTTTTCCGATTTCGACTTTATTGAAGATCGGCTTTGTTATCCCTTGGTCGCTGGTGCTCGACTGGAGTCCAGGTCAGACGCGGAGGGCGGAGATCGGTGGAGGAGGGCAGATTTGTTGTCATGGCTCGAGGAGATCGGCGCTGTGGTCAAGGTTCGAGGATGCGGCGTTGCTGTCGTCGTTGGAGAAGATCGGCGCCGCCTGTCCGCTTACTCTGGTCGCACAGAGCAGGGATGAGTTTGGTTATGCAGGGACGGAGGATTGATGCATGGTCTTTGGCAGCCAAAGGTCATGGAGGATCAATTAGCATGGTACCAGTGGTACGACCTCCTCCTGAACCACCACCATGGGATGCACGAGGTGCTAGAGTTCGTGAATGTTTTTCTTGTAGTTTTTATCTGTTTGTTATTTGTTTTCTGGCGTCCATTTTTGTTGTTGGGTTTGACAGTTTGTTTGAGTTTTTTGCCTCTCTTTATGTCATTGGGTATGGTTGGATCTATGGGAATAGTTTTGGCTGTGTCAAGCCACTACATGGTTAGCGATTCGTGTTGCTCTCTCAGGGGTGACCGTCTCAAAGTCTCACCATAGGGTTACAGTCGTAGTTGTTGGAGTTTCAGTTGGTGTCTGTTTGATTTTCCCTTTGCTTGATGTAATGATCCTGATGAATCTTTTGATATGAATAGAGACATGTTTTGATGATAAAAAAAGTTCCATTTCCCTGCATTTTAGCACAGTCAATTAATTATTATAAGTAATGCTTACCGTTTAAATTTTTTCCCTAAATAATTGTGAAATCAAAAATACACATTTTTTATGGAAAAAAAAAATAATTTTCATTAATTATTTAATTTTTTTTGTTAACAAAAAATGAACTTAGTTCAAGTAAAATTCGATTATGGAATATTCGGTTATTTGTGAAGGCTTCATGAATTTAAAATTTGCGTTTTGTGTTATTCTAAGCTCAAGAAAACTATAAGTTAAAACTTGAAGTTTTGTATTTTTATTTTATATATGGCATAGTGGTGTCTTATGAAAGATCATAAAAATTCATGAATTTTGATATATTTTTTATAAATCTATTTATTATCCATGCACTATAACACAATAACTATTTGACTATTTCTCCAACCAAAACATTTATGTGTTTGTTATGTGTGTTTTTATATAACAAGACAAATGCCTCCTAGTGTTTCATGTGAACCTTAATCCTACTATCATGATTATTATAGTCATCTTGACTGCTTTATTTTTCTCCATAGTACTAATATAAATATGTAATATGTAATACGCATACACAAAACATTAAGAGTATGCTTATTAACTGGAAAAAGGAAAACAAAAAACGTGTTTATCGAAGAAGTTTGCTGGAAAATAGGAGAATGAAAAACAGAAAAATGTGTTTACCAAATCGTTTTCCAAAATTAAAAAATGAGATATGTCTCCATTTTCCTTTATAAATTGGAGAACTGAGATATTTACTAGTTTTCCAAATTTGAAAAAACGCAAATGTTAGAGTGCCGCTACAACGAATTTGCATACTTATGCCTAGTGGGGAATCCAGTCCCGCTCCAGTGTCAGCTTCAGTCACGTCCCGTCACCAACCCGACAGTCCCTATCCGGTCCGATCAATGACCCAGCAATCCAGTTCGATCAATGACCTGGCAGTACCTGTCTGGTCATGTCAACGACCCAGCTACACCTGTTCGGTCCGGTCGATGGCCGGGAAGTCCTGGTCCGGTCAACGACCTGGCGGTCCATGTCTGGTCAATGACCCGGTGGTCTCTGTTCGATCCGGTCGATGACCCCGCAGTCCCACTCCGTTCCGATCGACGATCCAGCGGTCCCTGTTCGGCCCGGTCGACGATCTGGAGGTGTAACACCGTCCCCAAATCTTTTGTGTAAATTATGTATTGAACCTTGTGAAATAGTTAATGAATTTACAAGGTTGTAAATTTTCGTTATTACTTTTGCGTGAATAGTAAATTGCATGTGGAACTCACATCGGGAGCGGGGACCACCCGATAATGTATATGGTGGTGCATATTCATGATGGGCCATAGAAAGGCTTAGAGTTGATGGGTTAAATAAACGAGACCCAATTACTGGTAATGGTAATTTATCAGATAATGGCCCGTAATAAATTTCGGGAACTTCTAAATTAAAGTTGGGGAATGTATATTCATTCTAAAGGCCCGTAGTGATTGGGAACACGATATATATTTTATATAGCCCGATAAAATAAAATATAATTAAAACACTCCGAGAAATACAACTTTCGGGGTGAACGTACTCTTCTAGACATAATGCGATGACCTTCCACGTGAGTGGGGGCCACCCCACGCTTTGAGAGCTCAAATTTCACTTTAGGGGGCAGCACAACATGGATTGAGAGGTTTGCATGAGTTGAGAGTGAGGGTTGAGTGAGAAGTGACCTAAAGTGTAGCTCAACCCCCCCCCCCCCCCCCCTCCCACTCATTTGCCTATTGAGACAAAGAAGAGTTTCCTCACACCCTCTTTCTCTATTATTTCGGACAGCCTATCTCAACCAAGAGGGATAAGCTCTCAAACCACCATCCTCCATTGTTGGTAGCAAGTTCAACCAAAACAAAGGTCCGAGGAAGGAGTAGAAAGAGAGGAGAAAAACATAAGAACCAAGATAATGACCTCTTAAGTTCCATTTCTCTTTTCATAAAACATCATATGACTTTTTATCATATGAAGGACCCGTAGTATTGTTCTACATGTTTAGAAGTGTAGAATGAGGGGTTGGAAGGTAGTTCTAAGTCCAAGATTGGACTTAGAAGCCAAAGTGGCCGGTTCGCCAAAAAATAACCTTTTAGAAGTTATTTGTGTTAATATGGGTTTTGTGATGATGAAACCTTATTAGTAACTTGTCTAAGGTTTTCCTAGTGCTTTCACGAAATTGAAAGAGTTGCCAGAGTTCAACGAAGTTCGTCAAAGTTTCGCCTGAGTTCAACCGAGAAGGGTAGAACTTCTTAACGCTCATTCGAGGTGAGTGAACGACTTAATGTCTTATAACACTTGGGTTAAGTATACGATTACCTAAGGAAATGTTATGTGTATTCGTAATGATGTTTAAAGGAGTTTAAGCATATCATAAGCCAAGGTAATTAGACTTATGTGAACAAAACTATATATGAATATGCATGTAAGAAGTATAAAAATGTATATAAAAACATATGTGATGTTTTGAATGGCCAACATGACATTTATTAATGGTTTAAGACTTAATACATATCGTGTATAAGTTTCGGAACAATCGGAGTACGTTGGGGGGGGGGGGGGGGGGGGTCAACGGGTCATTGACCCGGGCAGAAAGTGGACTGGCGCCGGTTTGACTACTGTGTAGCCGATTCTTGGAAAATGCATGATGAACCGGCACCGGTCTGGGAGTGAACCGGTGCTGGTTAACCTACGGGTTTCGATTAGTGCTGGACTCGGTTCGGGCCGGGCCCGGTTCGGGCCTTGAACCGGCCGGGCCTCGGTTCACCAAAAGGAGGGCCCGGGCCCGAACCGGCAGGTGACCGGTTCCGGGCCGGTTCCGGGCCAGACCGGGCCGGTTCCGGGCCGGTTCACCCGCCCCATTTTTTTTTTTTTTGATTTTTTGGCTTCTCTTATTTAACCCCCTACCCCTCCCCCTCAACCCCAAACCACCCCAAACCACCTCAAATGGCCCAAAATACCTAATCCAACCCAAAAATTAAAAAAATTTCAAAAAAAAATTAAAAAAAAAAATTATTCCGGCCCGGACCGGGCCCGAACCGGCCGGGCCGGTTCACCAAATAGAGGGCCCGGGCCCGGAACCGGTATCCACCGGGCCGGTTCGGCCCGAACCGCCGGTGGACCGGGCCACCGGGCCGGGCCGGTTCACACAGTAACCGGGCCGGGCCGGTTCCGGTTCGGGCCGCCCGGCCCGAGTCCAGCACTAGTTTCGATACCCGTTTTTGCCGAAGACGCGTATTGGGGCCCGGTTTGAGGAGGGATTAACCCCAGCCATCATATGTATATTTTGCATGGAGTACAATGAATAGTAGGAGTTTGTAATGAAGAGTTTATCATTCACAGTACAATTTCCAGTTTTTGAAAGTTCACAATCAGTTGAATGAGTGCTCTCATCTCGAGGCAATTGCTAAAATATAAACTTGTACAATGACTGGCCTTTGGTGCCATTTTGACAAAAAAAAAAAACAGGAGGAAATGGTTGACCATTTTTTGTCATGCCACCCTCTTTTCCTTTTTTTTTTTTTTTTTCCTAAACCCGTGTTTGGGAAAAAAGACGCCAAAAGCAAAATGCAATATAACACAATCTATACGAGTCCTGCATGAGAAAAAGGTATCGATCAGTTTGGCTCTTAAGTAATCCTCCCTCCACTCCTTACTACCTTAGTAGACTGTACCTGCTTTGTTTTACCCTTGCTTCTGTCTCATCCACTCAACGAAATTGTCAAGGACCAAAGGCCAAGCAAGCTCTGGATCATAATTGCTAAAGTCCGGGAAACTTATCTGTTTAAACCAAAGTATTCCTGAACTGTTATCAATTAAAGAGAGCACAAAGAACAGCCATAATGATAAAGAAGCTAACAACAATTCAGAGCATCATATATTTGCCCTTCACACCACAAGGCAAAAGGTTATGGAGAAAAACAACAACAGTGTTTACCTCACTGCAAAATCTGAAAAATCCCATCCATTGATCCATATTGATGACCTTGTAATCACTCTGGATCTGACATCATACACCCAATGTAATCACTTGTAATCACATCACATCCTAGTGCTGTGATGTGATTTACAAAAATTTCTTCTCCTAGAAAGCATGCATTCATAGGAAAGATAGTTTCTGAAACAGAGAATATCTTACTTTCAAATAGTGGATCAGTTCTTCTACTTGGTTCCGAAATTGAGAGCCTAAAACAAGATCCAGCAATACACAGATACTTTCAATATCTATGCTCTTCTGTTTCTCCTCTAAAAAATACACATGAAGAAGAAATCGATTTGTCAATTCGAGAGACCACTTTTTAATCCCAAGATTACAAGGGAAGCACAGAATGAATTGAGAGCAAGTGAATCCTGTCCAGTTTTGCAAGTCACATTTTCCTTTTCGTTTGTGTTACACATTTAAGTTCAATTTCCTTAAACATCACTTTATACCTTTCCAATGTACACTTTTATGATTATGATGGACCCATGCAAAACGTAGTACAAAGTACATTTAAAAACAAGAATATCAGATGACATATTTGGTATTTGCACCCTACATTGTACCCTAATATTTGCCTTTGCACATCATAATTTATTTTCTTTGAACATGCACCCCAAATGGGCTGCAATGTCAAATAGTAAGGGAAACCAGAGGTCGCAAAGTGTAAAATGAATATAATATTGGAAAATTGATCATATATAATTTACTCTCGTATCCTTACAAAAAGTGGAATATAAAATGATCATTATTTGTTTAATTCTTTATATCTTAAAATCTATGATTAACTAAGCTTTTGTCAATCACAACATACAGGAACAATAAGATATTTTGAACAAGTGGGGATCCACAGCAAATATTATCAACAAAAGTTGATATATAGCCTACAGATTAAAAGCATTTGTGTGCAGAATAATATACCTGTTAAGCAATACCGAAATGCATAAGCGTAGAAATCCACAAAATTTGATGCTCTTCTAACCTTGATGAGGGGTAAATGGGAAAAAAAAGGATGAAAGGATATTGCCTCCGTCTCCACCATGTAGTATGAACAAATATAAAGTACAGTAACATGTCTTAAAACAAGGGAAAATGAGACAGGTGTAACTTAGTACTTCTTTCTCCAGTTCCGGAAGAGCTTTCTTCAATTTTTGCAATGTGTCGGCTCGTAATGCTTTTAACCCTTTTCTCCACTCCTCCTAATGCAAGAAAAACTGCAGTGAATACTACTTTTGAAAGGCCGGAAACATAAAAATTGTACTCTCTTTTGAATATAAATGTGTTGGGAACGAGTGATAAAGTATATTAATAATATATTATAACAGACAACTAAAGAGTATCAAAATAGTGTTCTTGCTAACCCGAGTAAAGTATCCTTGTTTTTCTGATTGCATTTTCCTACAACCCATGGCATGGCATCAGCATATTGAACTAAGAACATGCATAAACCCAAGAAAAGAGAATTGTAGATTGAAAGATACCAAGCCAGCATTAATATGCGAACATCAGTATGTTCCACTTCCAGGTCTGAACAAAGAGCCTCAATTCCTTCGGGGCTGTACAAGGGAAAAAAGACACATCAAATGTTCATTTTCTCTGTTTTGACAAAAAATACAAGCTTCTGAAGTTTGAACTAACACTTATACAGCTTTCATGATATTTACCAGAATAGTTGCAATCGTGTTTATAAATGATGTTTTAAACTGAGAGAGAGATATAATTCTTGCCTTGGAAGTAAGCTAGCAAATAATTTAAAACTTCAACTCTAATGTGATTTGATAGTTTGATCTACTCTAAGATGGATTTCCTTGGAGAATAAACATGGACACTTATTGATTTAAAAAGTGAAAGTTCAATGTCAGATAACCTCTATGACTTGTGGAGTCCTGAGACATGTTTCTAAAATTGGATTATGTACTTGTTCAGTTAGATGTGCACAACGAAAAAGTAGTACTTGGAATACTTACTCAATTAAACCAGACACATTATTAGCATAGGTATAAAACACTTGATCGATTCGGTCTAACTCTTTACTTGCTGCTTTGCCTGAAGCTGATTGAATGCAGATCATGTCAGATACGAACAATACATCACATCTTCAGCATATAAAAAGGGAGTTTAACATCTTCTAAAATTAAGCTTCAAGCATGACATCTAACACAACGACTCAAGTGCTAGCAACGGGCTTACTCTGGAATATACATACATATTTATATCTTGTTTCAAACATTTACGATAGCTAGAAGTATATTAACTGTGAACTGAAAACCAACAAGTTGAGGTGAATGCTTGGATAACAGTAGACTATCTATGTGTGCACCACTAAATTAAGGGTTATACCAGACTGCTTATTCACAGGGTTCAAGCAAGGACCACTATCCAACTGCAATTTAGTCTATGTCCAAACTCATAACCTCACTATAAGTTGCAATTCTCATTTTCTTTAACAAAAGATTCTTGAAAGAGAATCAGAAGAAGTCCGACTTTTGGCACAAGATTCTTTAATTACGCTACACATAAATTGTCAATAATCAAGACTTCCAAATCCGAGATGTTTGTATAAATTTAAAGAATTCAGTCAGCATAGATTATCCCACGCTTTTCTTTCCCTGATTTTGAATTTAAGATCAATTCGATGTCTTACTACAGAGCTTTCCATTTTTCTATTCAAGAACTTATTTGTGCAGTAAGCCAGTAATAGTAAACAAACCATTCGAGCTATTAATACAACGAAAAAATGCAACTCAATTCTCCAAATTCAAGCAAAAAGGTATAACTCAGAGTTAAAGAAATGAATTAAAATTTTCAAGACCGTATGAATTACCATAACAAATACTGATTGAAGAGGAACTGAATGATAATGAACAAAACAGTCAACGGAAAAGATGAACTAGGAACAGAAGATTGGATACCAGAGCGAAAGAGATCCATGGTTGCTGAAGTGGTGGAGCTGGAGGAGCCTTTCTTGGAGGAAGCACGAGGCATCTGGGAGAGTATGAGATTCGAAAACGAAGTCGCCAAAGAGTTTTCAAAGCAAAAGCAAATGATGTGATGGCCACCAGGGAACAGAGCCGGCGGTACGGAAGGTGCAGAAACTTCGGTTGAAGGACGAATTGAATAATCAAAGGGGCGTTGCGTCCCATATAACTTTCACCAGTGTGCGAGAAACATTTAAATAAAACTTTTATTGTAAAAATAAGAGTATAATTTTAAAAATCTTTAAATAGATTAGCTTTGTTTTAATACTCCCTTCGTTCATAATCTCCTTGACACTTTGACTTCACAAGTTTTAAGAAAATAAACTTGACTTTACTGTAGAGTACACTGTTTGACACTGTTTGACACTGTTTGACACTGTTTTATATAGATTTGTTTGCCAAATAAGGCAAATAAGGAAGTGTAAAGAAGAATGTGGTACTGACAGAAAAGGAAAGTGTAAAGAAGAATGTGAACCAGAGGGAGTACAATTTATATTTCATTAATAATTAAAATATAAAAGTAATAACATGACTTTATTTATAAAAAATGTAAAAAAACTAAAAAACACGAAAATAAGTATTAAATAAAATTAATATTTTCCCGGAATAATACTAAATAAATAAATAATTCCCAAAATATTGTCGGATTAAGAATAATACCCAAAATAATGTTGGCGTTAACCGCAGTTAACAAAAACCGTCACTCCAAGTGGTCGTTCTTCTCTTGCAGTACAAAAGCCGCCACTTGAAGTGGCGGCTCTTCTACACAATACAAAAACCGCCACTTCGAGTGGCGGTTCTTCTACACAATACAAAAGCCGCCACTTTGAGTGGCGGTTCATTAATAAACAGAACTCCGTCTTCTCCTTCCCAAACGCCGAATGATAAAACAAAAGGGGGAGAATTCCTTTGCTGCTGCGCGGAAAATAGCGATTTCAGCTCGAATTCCTGCCGGCCAACATCCTAAAGAAGATCAAATCAAAGGGAAAAGACACAAAGTGTACCCCGAGGTCGTTTGTGCTCAATTCTACTTACTTCCAACCATTTTATTCGAGGTATTTCATCATTTTCGCTAAAGCTGGGGTTTTTTCAATTTTAGTTCGAAATTGCTGTTTTTTGGATTATTTTATTTGTATTTGATGTTATGAAATATATAAGTTGTTAATGTTGTTATTATGCTTGAATTTATTTAATTAGTAGAATTTGAATTATTTATTGTGTTGGTTGGATTGAGTTTGATATATGGATCATTTGAGAAAAAGTAATGTAGCACATTATTAATATGTACTATATGATTTTTTAATTGAATGAAATAATAAAAATGATATATATGATTTAATACAATTCGTTTGAATTTAAGTACTTGTAATTGAGTTTTCAACTTGCGGCATCAGTCATAGTTTTCCGTGGAATGAAATTTTGGTAGAATATGTCTCCAAATTTCCCCATTGTTTGTCATTGGGGAGGAAATATTATCGAGGAGTCAAACGGAACTCATTATGAGGGGGGGGGGGGTCGGAAGATAATTGTTCTTTCCTGTGAGGTGGGTATGGCAAAGTTAATGAATACAATTTATACTGCCACATCCATCAATCGTATGAACAAATTGGATTTGAAAGTTAAATATCCCATTCATGGTGGATCATACATGTTGATGTCTCTTGCTGACGACGAAGCCGTTACGGGAATGTGGACCTTAATCACAAATCTTGCTATGCATACCATGAAGATATATGTTGAAGAAGAGACTGTGTTGGTCATACAACCTGACAACCCGTCATTATCTTGCCCTTCCATAACTGTTCCAGTTGTGATGAATATGGTTACACAGGAGAATGGAAGACACTTGAACAGTGATGCAACGTTTCTGGATTCAATATGCAATGATGACGATGCAGATGAAAATGTGAACCATGACACACTAACAGATTCAGATGAAGATGGTGGTGATCTCTTAAGTGGTAATGCTCCATCCAGCCACTACATTTATGAGCTCCCTGCGGGGATTTGATGAATCATGGACGGGTTGTATAACTTCCTGCCGCTTCTCTGCAAATGGTGAATTCGAGGTTGGGCAAAAGTTTGATGATAAGAAACAATTGATTGACATGGTTAGAGTGTACTCTGTAAAGAGGAACCAATTTTGCTCAGTTGTAGAGCATTACTTACCGCTCTACTTGAGCGTTGGAGACAGGAGACTCACACTTTCCACTTACCCGTGGGTGAGGTGACGATCACATTGGGAGATGTGGTTGTGCTGGCAGGTCTACCGATTCAGGGTCGGGCTGTTACTGGGACTGCATGTAGAGTATGGGTTGATGTGGTACACAGATTACTGGGAGTATGGTCAGAGGCTGGGACAGATATTCGGGAGTCCGCCTTGAGGATGCCTTGTTTGAGAGAGCATTTTAGTGCTTTACCTGTTGATGCTGATGACACTATTGTCCAGCAGTACGCGAGAGTCTACGTATTGATGCTTGTGGGAGCCTCTACATTTGCGGACAAAAATGTAACTTAATACTACCTCTGTCCCTTTTATATTGGGACGGAAGAGGGTGGCACGATTCTTAAGAAAAGTGGGTTTGTGTGGTTGATATTAATTGGTAAAGTAAGAATAAAGTAAGAATGATTTAGATCCACACAAACTTTATCAAATATGGTATGAGACAATTTAAAGGGGACATCCCGAAAAGGTAAATCGGGACAATATAAAGGGGACGGAGGGAGTAACTTTTAGCGACTATAATTGTGTTCAATGTTTCTATCGTAGTCACTATACCGTAGTAACTTTGAACACAATCATAGTCCCTAAAAGTTACCAAGTCACATTTTTGTCCATTACTTTCCAAAAAGTAATATTAGTGGAATTTTTTCCATTAGATAGATCCAGTTAACTGTTAATTGCTAAAGGTAATGTCTTTCTAAGTTGTTAAAAAACCGGCCTCATATAATAATATACCCTACAACAGATCCTATTAGTTCAAATGATTAATACTCCCTTAGTCCTATTTTGTAAGATACCTTTCCTATTCACTTGGTCAACACAAATCACTCTTAATATCTTACCTTATATATCAAAAAATTATGAAATTTGAATTATTTTTTGTAGGTTTTGTAGCGGTTTTAATGTAGTTTCTGAATATGTAAATTTTATTTTCTAAAACTAATTTGAGTGTTGATAGGGATCAATTTGCTTTATCGTCGATCAAACATCGCAAACCTTAAAGTACCTTCAAATTCGGGACGAAGGGATTATTTCATTACTTATATCACATTACTTTTATTTTGTACTAAAGTGATATCATTTATATTTGCAGGTTTCACCTCATCACTGCCAATATATTTTATCCAGAACATTGATTCAAACCAATTCTTAATGTTACGACAACATTCTCAAAATTCAAATGCTATGACCCGACACATTTAACATTTATGCCAACCTAATGAATTTGAGTCATATTATATATAGTGTGATTCACCGATTCACAAAAAAACAAATTACCTATGTCCTTTACATATATAAAAATTTGACCAAAGTCGAAAAATTTTCTAAATAGGAGTTATAATCTGTATTTGGACAAAAATGTCCTTGATGCTCGAAACTGATACTGTTGCGACCAGAACACAGGACCGCCACCACTCGCCGGTCGCCACCACTCGCCGCCGGTTTTCGGACATCACTGTCGCCTCAAAAACTGGCCGCCGTTGTAGATATGGACGCCGGTGATGCAGATCTGGCTAGCATCGCCCTAGATCTGGACTGCTCTAGCCTCCGTCGGCCGCTGCCTCTGCAAATCCAGCCACCGTCACATCATATCCAACATCTACTACTGCAAATATGACCTCCTCAGTTCCAGATCTGAACGTTGCCGGTGTGAATGCCAAGATTTTTATCAGAATTCCATATTAATGGCATTTGCAAAGGAAATTACAATTTTTTTGAAGACAAAGAATGCCATTTTGATGACATTTTTAGAGTTTAACTTGGCATTCTGTAACAATCAAAGAGGAAACATAGCATGGGGAAGAAGATTACCATCTCTGGCGGCGGCGGACTTCGCGACGCCGGCTGCGATGAGGAAGGCGAGAAGATGACCAGGTGAGGGCGGAGGTGGACTTCACTACCGGGCTGCTAGCTTCGTTGTTTATGGCGAAGGGGGAGGAGAGAAGATGAGGGGGCATGCGCAGGGGAGGAAGAACGATTGTGTGCGCAGGGGAGGAAGGTGGATCGATGGGGTGTGCGCAGGGGAATTAAAGAGAAAGGAATTGAAATAGGAGTAAATAGGTAATCTAGTCCTATTTGGGGAATAAAAATATAAATAGTCCTATTTGGGAATTTCAGGAATAATTTAGTCCTATTTGAGACAAAAAAAAGTCTAATAAAAAATGTGCATATTTGAATATGTCTAAAACTTGAATAACAACAACCAGCCATATCTATATGCATTAATTCTTTACAATCATCTTTCTCATTTCTTAACAAAAAATCAATAGGCATCTTTTTCAACATAAAAGGTGTTATTAACAAATTTGATCAGGAAATAATTTACAATCTTTATTGTTATTTACTATTTTAATTAATTCGCTATCATATAAACGTTACATCACCGGGCATGCCCCCGGTAGTGTTACACTAATTCAATTAAGTTTTTTTCTCCTGAAAGCATCACTAAAATAAAGTTTTATGGTCAAAAATACGACTAAAGTTACTATGTTCATAACTTCATGATCATCAGTATACTGTAAAATTAGACATTATTATAAACACCAAAAGTTTATAATACGACCATTTTATAAGAATTCATATTTTTATCCATCATCTTTATTTTAGTCACATGTGTGTCATTATTTCGTCAATTCATATAATTACTCGGTTTCCTTTTTCATTAGTCATCTTTGAATTTTATACGAAATGATGATATATTTTGATAAACTATTTTAACAACTATATTTTTGTGAAACTTAAGAAATTCTACTATTATATTCTTACGGAAGCACTTTTACCAAATAACATTTTCATTTTCATATTATAAATGCTTTAGTATATAAATATATTATCGATTAAAGTCTAGTAAGTTTGATGGGGAAAATCAAAGTTGGATAACTAAAAGGGGACGGAAGGGCGAAAACGTTCGGCCAAAAGATAATTTTTTTTGGCAAAAGGAAACTCCGATCATATTCATTTAAAAGATCGTTTTCCA